GCAAGATTCAGGGTGGAAAAAGTGCATAAGTAATAGAGATTATGGCATAAAAACGGGTAGTTAAGGTAGTGTAAGTAATGGCAGGCGAGCTGAAATTAATATGGTAATGCAGGGGAAATTTTCAATAGAGGAAATGTATAATTTAGGTGGCAATACAAGACAAAAGCATACAAGGGATGGAGGGAAAAGTGGATATATGAAATAAAGAAGAAAGGTTTGGTCATCGTGTAGAATAAGGAAGTACAAGGATATACAGAAGAAAAATAACACAAAGACTGATAAGACAAATGTTGCCTAAGTAAGAAAATTGAAGTGTACAGAATAAGAATTGTGTATGAGGACGATATGATATCCGCGTTCAGTGAAATAGGAAAGTGTAATTAGACATAGTAGATGAGGAGAAGGTGTAGATAGTGTAAAAGTTAGATGAAAATGAAGAAGATTGTGAGAGGAGATTAGAAGGACATTTAGATAAGGAGAATACTATTGTAACAGTGGCGTAGCCAAAAAAAAGTTTCAGGGGGGCTGTACTTTTTATTTTTGTCGAACACAAAAAAGGTCATTCGAAAAAATTTTTCTCACACTTAGCGTAACCCAGAAAATTAATTTGGGGGGGGGGCTGCAGCCCCTCCCTGGCTACGCCACTGTATTGTAAAGTCAATTAGAGACAGACAATGTAATTACAGGGACATCAGAAACTAGATAGAAATAAGGAATGGACGGATGTGTGTGATTAAGGAATATAATCGTAAACCAAGTCTCCTTCTTGGCTATGTAAGGTGAAGGAAAATGCACTGATACTCTGATAGTAATGTTTATTATAAAATTACCCCCGTGTGTACAACGTAACGATAAAACACGCTAAACGCCTTCATCAAGCATCTCGTTAAGCCACCTCCACACGGCATATGAGAAATGCACGTCGACGTTGGTCGATGTTACGTCGGCCATATAGGGTTTTTGTTCGTTCCTTTTTTTATTTTGCTTATGAACGTTTTTCGTCAGCTCGACGTTGCCCGGACGTTCGTGGTCCGTGTATCCGCCAACGTCGGCCTACATCTGCGGTATCGCGGTACAACCGGCTTTACGCGCGTCATAGAGGCGTAATGAACGAGCGTACAGAGCGGCTACAACGTCGCCGTTGTCTCGCGATGGAGATGAGGATCTCGCCATTCGTCTTCCACCGACAGGCTCGGGCTCGCGCCGCGTGCAAGCACCAGCGGGCATTGAGATTTTTTGAGTTTGCTCGCGATTATTGCGCGCGAGAGAAGGAGAGAGAGAGAGAGAGGGAGAGAGAGAGCGCGGAAAACATTTTGCTTTCGCGCGGGTGGATTTCCTGCACTCACCGCGTCGGCGGCATTACAGATCGAATTGACAATTATCAATTTATTGCACGGTCGAATTGTTACTGCACGGTTGAGTTTGCAATTATCCACGGTAGTTACGTAAAGTCGTTTCGTTATGAGGACTCGTACTCGCGATACGAGTCGAAGCCGTACGTCTCGGATTATACACGGAGCTGATGTTACAGCCTTTTCAATGTTCTAATAGCGCAGGAATGGCCTGTATCAGTGGAGTTTATCTTGCTAAGAAACGTAGGAAGTTTTTTCAACCTTTTGCAACCGATCTGACAGGTACAGTCTCATTATTCATTTGGTCATTTCATTATGAGAGAAATGATTTCACACAGTTCTTCGTGAGTAAGCTGGCGTACAAGTGAAAACGCGTTTCGATGCCTTTCTAAAATAATAGCTGCATGGGAGAAAATACTGTTGTGTGAATAGAATTGGTCAACAGCGCCGTAATTGGAGTAAATCTTTTTGATTCGACGGCAGTGTAGTCTTGAAACTAATACATTGTACTTTATTTAAATAATTCAAGTACTAGTTTCGATAATATTGCTACTGGGCCCAAAAGATTAGATCGATTTTGTTGATACAACAGCATTTTTTCCGTGTGTAAAATGTGTCTGACAGACATATTGTGTCTTTTATTGTCATTACACGCATTACGGCTTTCGGGAGGTTAACAGTAGATTTCAGTTTCTAAAATATAAACAGCACGTATCAGACGGAAAGATCACGCATAAAAGAAGAATAAGTTGATATCTTGATATGTATCTCGCTATGTCGATATATCGATATGTATGTCTCAATTACACAATTTCTCTATTGTTCCTCGGGCACAAATCAGATAACAATTATTTTCTCTTCATGCACATTTCTCGTAGACCAAAAGGCAAACAATTCCCGCGATCTTATTCTGGGCACATGACGAGCGCTGGATGCGCTTTTTTAGTTCCAAGTTCCATTTTTCTTTCTATTAGCGTGCAAGGTTGTTTTTTAGCTTGAGAAACATCAGAAAGGCATATTTGGCGTTCACTATACGGTCAATAAACGAAACGTACGTTCGATTTGCGTCGTTCTCGAGGAATCTCTTTTATACCGAGCGTGTCACGAGGGAACTCACTCGATTCCGTGTTTTGCTCATTTTTACACGGAGCTCGTTCACACTCGCGATGATAATGCGATTACGAGCACGTACGTAATCGGTTTATCGTGAATAGTAGACGCGATTTTCTCCGTCGCCTGGTCGCTGTGAAAAATGACTTGACGCGTCGAGCTGTCGTCGTTGGCATAAACCCTCGCAATCGGAAACGATTGCTTCCTTGTTACCATGACTTTTTACGCTAATCTAATCTTCGGAACGCGCGATACGAGAGAAGAAGACTTTCTAAATTCATATTCCACCTCGGACGTTCGATATTTCACCTTTCGATTTGAGCGAGCGAGATATTCTCGCGTCGATCCGAGAGTTCCTCGCGAATCCTCCTCACGGCAATTCCTCAAATATGTATGCGGACTACGCTATTTCAACACGTCGACTGCCGTAGTGACATTAGGGGGAACTTTATTCCCTATGCAATATATACGCATGCAGTAACACTGTTTGTGTTTGCAAATTGCGTTAATAATAGGAATAGTCTACGTCTGCAAACTGTATCAATGATAGGAACAGCCTGCGTTTGCAAACTGCATCAATGATAGGAACAGTCTGCGTTTATACAAACGGTATCAATGATAGAAACAGTCGTATTAACTATTAACTGATCCTTCCAGCGAGATTTGCAATGATTGCATTACATAGCATTTCAGTGAATAATACACTGATTGTACTTTAGAGAATACTGACAGTCTGTTTCTGCGCTACTGAAACATAGCAAAATTGGCCGTAGTTATGCAAGAATGGTCCAACTCGCATGTATATGAAGTAAGTTTCGAGAAAAATTAAGATGCAAATTCGATACATTATTTATTTTAAAAGTATATTAAGTTATTAAATAAATTATTATTTTTTAAAATATAACACTGAGGTTTAATCGTTCAAGTAACCAAACGACTTCTTTTTGTTTAAGAGTACTTGTTGGCAAGCTTAACTCTTTAAAAAATGGGTAAAAAAGACACATTTGGTAAAAAATGGCACGACTAGTAGGAAATAGAAACTGTTTTTAATTGATTTTAGGCGCTCATAGAATTAAAGCAAAATCTGAAAAATGAAAATTTTACAGGTTAGGTCATTTTTGTATGTGACTATAGAAAGAATTTACATGAAGAGAGAACATCCCTTCCGTGTATTATTCATCAAACTTCACAAAAGAGAAGTTTTGCGAATTATCTCGTAGTTGAGACACGGGACGGAAAGTGATTTTCTCCGAGCCTAGCCAGCAGAACTTGTAGTTAGCAGTCAGTGTGTGCCAAAATCGCCGGAGGCGGCAATTAAGACCCTAGGCCGGAGTAGAAGAGAGGCCCTTTCCGAGACGCGCCTCTGGAACGGCGGTCTGTGGACGTCCGTCAAGCTGGCGGTGCGTTTCGCAAGAAAACTGTCTTGCATTTCCTTCTGCTTGTCCGGGGCGGCCGTCTCGTTCTCGCGGGCATCAGTTTCGTGTTAAATCGTCAGTAACCTATTGCGAGGACGCGCGCGGCGACTTGTACGTGGAAAAGAGGAGAGTAAAGTGGCGTGTCGGGCAGGCGTCGTTTTTCTCGAAATTGTCCCCTTCGCGACGGTGGCGGAGCGGTGGCGACGGGGAACGGGGACGGGACTCCGGCTGGTTACCGTTGCGCTAATTGACGTGTACTTGTCAGTTTTACCACGGCGGGCCCTAATTACGCGCTTCCCCTCGGCCTCTTTACGCTCGCGAGCTCACCGAGAATGCGCTCGCCGAAAGCGCGCGTCGTATCGCCGCCACACCGCCGCGTTCTTCATCTTATACGTTTTCTATCCGATATAAAACGGTTTATACGCTGCAAGAACGATCGCGGTTTCACCGGCCGTTTGCGGCGGTCAATTCGGCTCGCGCGGCCAATCGCCGGCGTTACATCGCGCTTAATTCGACGTCATAAAGCTTCAGCTGTTAATTGGATTTTAATCATAGACGCGCAAATGTATCGGAAGCAGTTATAATGATATCGAGAGTCAATAACATTGACATGCGGACATCGTGTCTTCGATTTTGCGTTCGCCGATTTACACAATTAGCGCAATTGGATTTTTATCGCAAAATCGCGCCTGCAATTCAAAGTCACTCGTCATTTTAGTTAAGTATTTGTACAAATATCGCGCGACAAATTATGATACTTGATAATATCTAATCCAAACTTATATATTTAGAGGCGTAATGGAATTATGCTATTATAACAGTCTTAAAATCTTAAGTTGCATTATTTCTTTTTATGATTTTTTCATATATATTTTTTATATGTTTCACAGAAGATTACCAAAGTTTACTACACTTAATATTGATTGTCATTAATATTTTAATAAAAAAAGGGTAATAAAAAAGACAGTCTTGTTTTAAGAGAAAAATGTTGTCAATAAAGAATTATGATTAATTAAACGTGCAATTATACATTTTTATATATTGCATCTTTTAATGAGTCGCATTTAAAAATGTTTAAAAATTCATGATTCGGAAATAAACAAGTTTTGTAAAATGTCTCCCATTAAAAAAAAAAAACATTTATCATCATTATATTGTTCAATATTTATCAATATTTTCAATATTTCAATATTTATCAATATTTTCATACATACGCGGGAAATATTTGTCTTGAAATTGATCCGTGTGGAAATTCTTGTGTCAAAGTTTTAACATCTTCGTGGTATGTTATATAATTTGTATGAATGTTACTATACATAATCAATATATATATTGATTTAACATATCGTCGTTGTGTTATTTCGATTATTTTGCGTTGATTTCGTATTTATTATTTCTAAGGGTCGAAATAACAATTTATGTGTAAATGCACGAATTCTTGGTGACATTTTATGTGTAAAGTATACACAGATAAGTTGTGTTATTCGTATCTGTCTTGTGTTAAATTAATGCTAAAATTAGCGTGGACAATTGGGATATGTGAAATTGACACAAAATTTTCTGCAATATAGAAAACATCCAAAAAGAATTTGCTCGAGAAATTGAGTCGTGAGATTGAGAGAAACAAGAAACAATGACAAATTAGGTGAACGAAATTGTCTGCTTTTTTGACGTGCTAAGAATATAAATGTGTTCCGTTGAGAGTTATTTAAATTAATAGGAAGATTATAATATTTGATAAGTTACCAACTGTATATAATAAAATTAGATGAATTGCAAATTATAGATGTACGTACCAGCTGTTGGATTTTTATTATTTATCGTTGCTCGCATTGTTGAACGTACTATCTTCAGTTGAGCTCTCGAGCGATCGATGAAAAATCGACGTAGTCGATTCGACACGTTGAAAATGATATTACAAACGCCTCGAGAGAAGTGACGTGAGAATTAGATACTTTGTTTTTTACATTGCATCACAAGAACTCTGTTCGATTAGGACAACAACTGCTTTATCGTCGGAGGTCGAGGAGGACCAGGAATCGAGCTTTCACCGCTTCCCTTCCTTGTTATTTGGCGCTGACTTCGTCGCATGCCGCTTAGTAGGTGGTTCCCTCTATGGCGAAATTTTATACCCGCGTTCGTCCTGCGTCCTGGCGTCCTCGTCCTGGTAGAGCATGGCTCGGGGTTCCCTTCGAGAAACAAAAGGAGAGAGAGGTTGCGCGGTTGATGGTCAAGGAATATCGCGAGAGACGAAAATAACACGACGAAGCTTAACTTACGTGTATTTCTCGCAAAATGTGCCTTGTCACTCTCCCGATTCGTCCTGTTGAAAATCCCGCGAACATTGATCGCCGGAGAGTTATCCTGGCAGGAATCTTCTTTTCCATCCGTTTACTCCATTGTTGCACGTATGTTCTGTATTTAAACAAATATTCGTAATGTTCACGATGTTATTCGAGGTTAGACGGATTTCTGTTTATAATTTTATTGTCTGTAAAATGTGGGAGAAACTTGAAGATCAAGAAATATATATGTGCATACATCATCTACAAATTTAACTTTGGTATATCGAATGTTCTTTTACAAATAGAATTCTATCTCGAATGGAGCGGATTATTAATAGTAAATGGGACTTGAAAGACTATTGAAATAGTCACTATTTCGTGACGAAGTTTTCGTGATGATTGACTTTACTTTTGTAGAATACATTTTACAGTACATCAGATACTGTCGTTTATAAATATTATAAATATTTTTGAGAAATGAAACAAGATTCTTCTGCAAACGCTAGGAATAATATTACAGCGGCAAGATGCTGAACATTTTTGGAAATAAAAGATATTTAATCTTTTAAGTTTCCAGAAATTGTTTTAAAAAAGAAAGATCAGCTATGAGTTGAGGTTACGCGGAACCTTTTTTAGAATCGATTCTTTAATAATGGTTTTAAACGTAGATTTAAGAAACCGATTATTTTAATCAATAAAAATTTTAATCAATTAATTGTCTAATATTGGACTTGAAATGTAAGATGTTTGATTTTTTGTCCGTAATATATATATAATAGTCATAATATAATATAATTATATAATTTAATTGTATAATTACAATAAATATATGATTATAATACAATGATCGAGAAAACCATTTTTTATTAAACTCTACTATAATGTTTGTGACAGTCTTATATGTTTGTTACTATAATCACTTTTGTGTTAGGACAACCGAGAAATATGGTTATAATTATAATAAAAATAACTATATAATTTTATAGATATAAATACAATTTAAAAAATAGCTGTAAGTTGGATCAACCACTTTTTATTTCAATGTATTGAAAAGTTGGCCTATAAAGATATAACGAGAGTGACCCTCCTCTAGTTAAAATAAAAACAATCATCGTAACATAATATTCGAAAGCACATATTCGATCGTGCAATTTCACCACGCCAATCGCGAGCGGCCTGCGAACGTTCGCGACGAAAGATCGCGGACGTGAATACGACGCGTTGTCCCACCTTCTCCCGGCCTTTCACCCGCCGTCTCATTTAGTCATCGATCGGTCGACGAAACAATCATCGGCCAGATGCGTGCGCTCGCGCGCGCGTCGTGAATCACAAAGCACAAAGGTCATCGTGGTAAAAGTGCAAGTAAGCGGGCGGAGGAGGTGGAGAAGGAGGAGAAGGAGGAGGAGGAAGAGGCGGAGGAGATACCGCGTTAATAGAGATGTGACACCTTGCCGTTACATTGTGGGGAGGCTCTCTTTTCACGCTACCGCGACGTATCTCGGCTCGGGCGAATGCCAAGGCCGGAACAGAGACAGAAACGGAGAGACAGACAGAGAGAGAAAGAGAGAGAGAGAGAGAGAGAGAGAGAGAGAGAGAGAGAGAGAGACAGAGAGAGAGAGAAAGACCGTCTTTAGCCGGGAAGAGTCTTTAATGCTGGTTCGTTTTTTCGTGGTAGTATGGGCTCCAACAAAACGGCGGCAGTGGCGGCGAAGCACCTTTATTTAATTACAATACGCTCCGTCTCCGTCCGAGCGTGTCTCCTCCCTTCGTTTAATTACAATAGCGCGCCCGCGCGCGCGCACATAGACGAAGTAATAGCCGGTTACCGTTGTTGAACAGCAGCGACGCGCGGGCTCGTTTCGCGGTTCTCTTTCTTTTTCTTACTCTCCTCCCCCCCTCCTCCTCCCCTCCCTCTTTCTCTTTCTGTCTTCCCCTTCTTCTCTTACTCTCTCTTTTCCTTTTTGTCTTTAATCCCCTCGGCAACATTTGGCGTCCGTCGGATGTACGCGCTCGCGCGCGCACGCCTGTATCCTTTTCACGGGTTTTATTACACGGAGGAGACAACCGCGCGACGCAGACAGCGTGATCGCGCGTGTACGAGCCCCAGCGAGCGAATAAAGCGTGTGTAAACGCCGCCGTAGGCTCGCCTATTGTAGCCATTACATCGCCGTTAATGGCACTTCACAATGTAATTTGCAGTCCCGAACCTCGTCCTCCCATTCGCCGCCTCTTGTGTCCTCTACTCCCTCGTTTCCTCTGTCCGTCGACGTTCCTCTGGCCCCGTGTTCTGATGAAAAAGCGACTAGTCCTTTGCGCCACTGTCGTGAAACCCGATGATGAACACGTATGAAAAGGTCAGTCGGCTGATGCGCGACGAATCGCGCTGTCCTGATTGAATCGGATGCGAATACAACACGATTCGCCGCAATTCTGCTGTTTTCTCCTGCGCTTCCTAATTCGCCATAAAAATTGTTGCGAATGTTTATTGGCACAAGTTGTCGTAACTTGAATAGCGTTGGGCATTAATTGAGTAAACTTACTTTTCGGCTACAATAATCGGTGAACCAAAACTCAATTGTCATATATAAAATCACAAATAATATAAATGATTGAAGAAATTAATTATTAACCTCTTCAATGGTAATTTAAAATGGCAGTGCGATTTTTTTATTTAACTAAGCATATTTAGATTTCTTTTCTCTTTTTTTATCATTCTTTGAAGAATTTAAAAAAACAGAATTCAAAATGTATGTAATTTTTATTTATATTTGCCATGAGTTAAAAAAAGATATAATAATTAAATTACAAGAGGAATTCAATATTTTACTACAGCACTTTTTATGTTATTTAAGGAGTTAAAACTAAATTTGATATGACTAAATTGTACAGTGATTAATAATTAATTTCATCAGTCGATTAAATTATTCGCGATATATATATATATATATATATATATATATATATAATGTTTAATTAATTTTTATTACCGATTTGCTCATTTTTTAGTTAAAATTTTTTTTTAATTAATCAAATGTATACAATTACGAATAATTTAATCGATTGGTGAAATTAATTATTAATCAACGTATAATTAATCACATCAAAGTTTAATTAATAACTAATTAATTATTTGCGATTTTATATATGGCGATATTGATTAATTTTAATTATTGAATTGTCGATTGTTTTAGTTAAAGAAAATTTTAATTAATTAACGTCCAACAAACTAAACTTGAAATGTAAGTTGTCTGATTTCTTGTACATAATCTATGACTATAATATGATAAAATTATTTATATTATTTATATTATAATATAATTTAATTACAATTTAATATATTATAATATGTATAATAATTAATTATAACGCAATACAATTATTATTATAATTATAGTTCGGAACAGAATTTTTCTTTGTAAGAAAACATTTGGAGAGTTCTAATTGCGTTTATAGTTGAATTAAAGTGACCAGATTTCCCAGCTCTAAATTCAGGACACTTCATAAATGTGTGAAGCGGGGGGAGGAAGGGGAGTAAAAAGATCCGAAAATTATTTGACAATCATTGAAAATAATGACAAATCGGTGTTCCGAATAGCACTCAAAAAAATTCTGGACAAAGGATGAAAAATTCGGGACGTCTGGTCACTTTAGTTGAATGCATGCACGTGTGGTCCCTAAAAATTTGCACGACAAGAATTTTATAGCAAAAATTACCACAAAACTTTGTAACTGATAGATAGATCGACATTCTATCGTAATTGACTATCCTTATGTCTCGTATGTGTTGCTTATAATGAAGTTGAAATGAGCTATTAAAAATGGGCTATATTCCCAGCAAAATTCACTGTAGTCCTTGGCAACATGCACTTTAATGAGTCTATTTATATATGCGCTATTAAAAACATAAAAAAATTGTAGAGAATTTATATGAGAAGAAACTATGACACATCCTCTCCGCGTACAAACATTTTCTATGTTACACACGCGGCACTCTCAAAATCGCAAGCAGGATCCCAGGAGTTCTATCGCCAATTGCAAATGGTGCACAGCAGTCTGTGATCTTCATTTCGCGCTCTCAATTTCGTCCGTCGAGTTCACGCGATAACAGAAGCAGCGTGAAGTCGCACGAAGTGACGCGGCGAGACGAAATTCGCCTAGACCGCGGTCGCGCGTAGTAAACATCACGCCGCGCTCTACAATCGCGCGTAATTATACCTCGTAGACGCGATTGATGATACCGCGACGCGTGCCGCTAACGAACGTTATTTCTCACTTATTAAAGCAATCGAATCGGGCGCTAATCGCGAAATCGGTCCACGGCCAGTCGCTTGTAACACAAACGAGCGCTTACCGATCTCAATCTGCGGAAATTACGCCGCGCGCCTTCAGCTTGAATGCGCGCGAGCTACGATATAAATTCACATGACACGCGAATAAGATCATCCGGTGTGGCCGCGGGGCGTCGGCGGTGGCAGCCCGGCACTTAAGCGGATACTGAAGTACTTCGCGGCCCTGAGGGTGCTTCCGCCAACGATCGATCTTCGATATACAGCGACCTGCACGTGAGTCGCCACCGACGGCGCGCGGCCGAAAAATGCGGCCCTCCCGGGAGATAGAGTGCGAGAGAGAGAGAGAGGGAGAGAAAGAAGGAGAAAGCTTAGGAACGGGAGGCAAGAGGCATAGTCCAGTTTTTGCGAGGATTACAGGGATCTCTCGGTCGCGGTGGTCACCTCGGGCGGACGATTAAAGTCACCAAGGACACGATAAACTTTATTATTTCGCGGCCTGTCCGACAGCAGTCGCGTGATTTTGTTTCCGCACCCGCGGCAGTCCGAGCTTGTCTTGCCTGCTACATCACGCCGTCGCTTTACGGGGAATATTTTGTTCATGCTGGGACGCGATCGTTTATGTTTAATAGGCAGGACGAGGCTCCTCACGAGCCCGCTTTCAACAATTTGCGATTTGCGACAGATTCTTACTCGTTTTGTGGTGTACTGACTTCAGCCATCCGATGTTGTTCAGGCTTCTTGTGTATCTGGAACACCTAAACTTAAATTATCGCAAAGGGTCAAGGGGATGAAATCAAGGGGATGGTTGTAGTCTTTCCCGTAGGATCCTAGACAGTAACTG